CTTCATATGAGGGTTTGAAGAAGAAGACAACAACTATATTCAAAGAGTTTTAAAATCTTCATTCGTTGATTGCACAAATTTTGATAGAATAAACGTGACAATTTTTGTGACTATGCATTTGATCCCAACAGAATAAAAGCAAATAAATTTTAAATAAAAAAAAATAACTTTATCATACCGTTCCCGAAATTATATAAACTAAAAAATAACAGTCACTATATTCCCATTCATTTTATTTTATCTGTTTACAACAGAAGAGCAAACCATGTCTGAATTCAAGAGAAAAAACACTGACTGTTTCTGGCAAAATGCTTATAAAACTCTTTAGTAATTATGAATCAGTCTTATTTAAATAATATCGATTGTCAAATAAAATTTCCTGTAAAGATGGAAATTACAATAATTTCATATTTCTTTATTGTTGTCTTCTTCTTCAAACCCTCATATGAAGTTTTTATTATTTCATGGGTTTTTCGTTTGAGATCAGTTGATACGCGACGCATAAACTTACAAGAATGTCGTTATTTCATTCATTGAGGGAGAAGTATGATTGGGTGCGGGTGTGAGAAGAGAAGACGTTCGCAAGTACCCACACCCACAAAATATTGTGAATATGTATAATGATGACAACATGAAAGTAGAAAACAATACTAAGTCTGTTTAATATATAATCGAGATTTGACTGGTAATAAATCTAATGTTAAATTATTAACCTCGTCAGCAGAAATTTCTTCATTTGTTATATAATCAATCCATAGTCCATTTTGAGGGTGTGGGTGTGGGTGTAGGTGTGGGTGGGTGTGTGGGGTGTGGGTGTGGGTGTGGGTGTGGGTGTGGGTGTGTTGGTGTGGGGTGTGAGTGTGGATGTGCGTGTGGGTGTGGGTGGGTGTGTGGGGTGTGTGGGGTGTGGGTGTGTTGGTGTGGGGTGTGGGTGGTGTGGGTGTGGGTGGATAACGAATCTACCCACATCCACACCCTCAAGAAGAAGCGAGAATGAATAGAATTGTCGAACGAAGGAGGAAGCAATGAAATATGTAGGGAGCGCACAGGAGGAGGAGCACGGACAGTAGCGAGAGTTGCACGAAGTTCAACGATTGGTTCATACTTAGAGCATATCTAAAATCTTCTATAACACGTGATATTTCTGTATCTATTTCACAGATACCATCATCAGACGAAATAACCACGAAACGTAAACTATTCACACTTTATATCAAATTTATTATAACCTAATATGTTGTGTGTAGATAATATATTACCACATTGAAAAAATATATAATACGTTGACTCATTGAAAGAAAAATGAAACAACATAAAAGAAAGACATCCATTTTTATTGCTGTGTGTATATCATATTATAAATGAAACAAATGGATAATTGTATAATATAAATAAAATATTAAAAAACAGCTAAACTCACTTAAAATCTTCTATAATTTGATATAAAGTGTGAATAGTTTACGTTTCGTGGTTATTTCGTCTGATGATGGTATCTGTGAAATAGATACAGAAATATCACGTGTTATAGAAGATTTTAAATGAGTTTAGCTGTTTTTTAATATTTTATTTATATTATACAATTATCCATTTGTTTCATTTAGAGCATATCAAAAGTAGTGTCGTCATTATCTTATGTCCATATAGAAACCTTGAAGCTATTGTCTTTTTTATGTAGTGATAGAGAAAACGAAGCTCTATTTTTCTGTGCTGTTTGATCAATATTGAGTTAATATCGTAATTTTATTATTACGATAAGAATCGTTTTTCTGCAAAAGGTAATGGTTATACTAATTCCATTAAAAAAAACTCTGAGTATTTTTTGAATAACTTTTCATAGAAACAATATAGAGAGCTGTACTTTTCACCGCTCGAAAGAAGAGATAAAGATGCATCGAATTGTATATTACGGATTTGTCAAGTATGTGGTCTGAAATTGTTTAATCAATTTTCTGAGTACCAAAAACAGTGGTTTTTTTATTAAATAGCAACCAGCAAAAACGCATTTTTTCACCGAAGTTGATAGAAAAATCACTTACAGCTTCAATTAGGATACATATGACTGCTGAAAAATTTATTTCAAACTTGTCAATCTTACGAAGTTTTGTAGATCTTTCATTGACGATTTGAATGTACGATTCACAATTACAAATTCTCTGTGCGCACCTCGTGAAGTAGATTTCTTTTCAAAGAAGTCGATTGAAAATCTTTAAAAAAATCAGACCTAAAAATCTGAAGCATACAGTTCGATGCATTTTCATCTCCTCTTTCTAACAGTGAAAACCCTATCTCTCTATCTTGTTCCAATGAAAAGTTATTCGAAAAAATACGCAGGTTTTTTTTTTGAAATAGAATTAGTACAACTATTACATTTTACAGGAAAACAGTTGTTATCGTAATAATAAAATTACAATATTAACTCAATATTGATCAAACAGCACAGAAAAATAGAGCGTCGTTTTCTCTATCACTGCATAGAAAAACGACAATTTCTTCAAGGTTTCTATATGGAAATAAGATAATGACGACACTACTTTGCGTATACCCTAAGTATTTTTGTGTGGAAATGTAAAGGCGAAACCCTTGCACTTAAGTATCTACGTGCCGAATCATGCGGTCGAGTTTTTAATGCTTAACCTCATGAGCTGTAGATAGACTATTTATTTGAGCACTGAGATGTTGTTCAGGTTAAGTCATCTTAGATTGAACAGTGGTGAATGTAGTTTCAAGAGATATTGTACGTACTGTTTCAATTTGGAGTTCATCGCGGAGGCCGGTCAGATAATCTTGTACTTTTTGCCGTCAGACTCAGTCCTAAGTGAAAGTGGATAGTGTAATATGAAAAAAAGCAAAAAGGGAAACAACAACCATGATAAAAATGAAAGAGCATCGGTTATCCGAAAAGAGAAAAAAAATAACTAAAAATTCAATTAGTCTGATCGCCAGGTGTGGCGGAATGGCTCACTCATTTCTGTTTTATTTTAAGAATCAATATGAATACATGCAACAGGAGTAACAAAAACGCGAAGATGACATAAAATAGAAGAGAGAAAAGGTAGAAAAGTATGCACATATATGTCTGGAAAAAAAACGAAAAAGGTAATTGATGGATCTGAACATATATATGCACGTGGCAGATACCGTTGAACATGACTATGAAGAGTGGTGACGGATAATATCCATACGCTTAATACAAGTGATACTAAACAATTTGTTAAAGTTCACGTTATTACTTCATAAATTCAGTAGTTAGTCTATCAAGAATAATCATGAATGATTTCAACACTAAATTCATATTCAACTAATTGATTCGCTTGAAGCCTCACTTAAAAATATCTCTTGAAAGCGAGCTAATCTTCAAAGCATTCGGAACATCTAGGGAAAAAACAAAAATACTTATCATGAGTCTGTAGACGCCAAGAAATGCTTGAGCTCCTATCTATACCCTCTACTTAGACGTCCTTAACGAATGATTTCTAAGAATTATTGAAGATAAATGTGATATTGAAAAAACACACGTGACAACATATACATTAAGCATCGCACCTAGCGTGGGCGCCACGAAGGAACGGATACACATGATATCCCACATATAGCATCGCAATGCTGTGGGTCCTTCTGAGCAGAAATAGATGGGATCTGGTGGTCTAGCATTTAGAGATGTTTGGCAACATCATTTGTTTGTATACGTCTCATTGTGGTGATCATGTATTTTTTTTTGTTTTTGAGGAGACTCTATAGACACAGTTTATGAAAAAGTATTCAGGTTCATGAGATTAGAAACGTATTGAACTAAAGCAATCTTCGAAATGGAAGACTTAGCAGTGATAGAATACTATCCACAAGAAATGAACGTGCTTTTATGAACGATGCGGCCGACGGATTTGAAGATTTGCTACCTGAATTTATTTCTTGCAGAGATGAGTTGTACATTACTGAATATGTCGGAAAAGATGCGTATTTTCAACCGCACTGACAAGAAATATGGTTATAAGACTTAAGTTAACAGTCATTGTGTTGTTCGGAAGCTTCCAAAATTCCTTGCGAAATCGTTCACATTCGTATGTTACTTTGAGACAGCAATTGAATTGAAAACTATAAAATACGGAGGACACAGTTGAAGATTCCTCTTTAGAAATTGTCATATCTGGACGTATGCGGAAACCACAGTGGCTTCTGTTTTGGGGAGTAGTTCATCTCTGCTGTATTTCCAATAGTCTCCATTGTCTCCTATACCTCTTTATCTTCTATATATTCTAAGGTGGGACTACATTGAGTTTCCTGAAATATTCTGAAAAAACATCTAATCGAGGCAAGTAGTCAATAGAAAGAGAATCTTCAGAATAATGGTTGCCTAGGAATATTCCGAAGTAGAGAATTCAAATCTGAGGTACATGTGCCCAGAATCTCCATTGGCGTGTCATAAGTCAATATGGGTCGATTTTTCGAAAGGCAGATCGACCGAAAGTATTCAAGTAGGGAAACTTTGAACTATTGTCGGCGATGCTTGAATTTATATTCTCAATCCTGAAATTATGACACCTCGATTCTTGAAATGCTGGTTTCTTCATTTCTGCTCTGCTGGGTAGAAACCAATCCACCACTGTAGCTCAGCTCTGGCAGGGGGAAATCGCATCGTATTCTCATAGATTGTTTTTATATCTAGAGTACACTAGCTACACCCATCAGGTCCATCCTCGAATATATTTCGCCCGAATAGAGTTATTGCCGACTTTTTCTTGACCAATCAGATTTTTTCTTATGGCGCTTATTCCCATGAATATTTCTCCTTGAGTTTTCTCTTTCGAAAACAGAGAGTCATCTACTTCAAATTGTGTGTATGCTTATTTGTCTTTCCAACTACTCTGGAAGCAGCATGCTCAAACAAACCAAAATAACCAAATGAAGAAACAGGGCACTGATACAACCGACAAGACTTCAAAATCTATGTTTCGTGGAATGAAACTTAACTATAGGCGATTACCTGTAACAAGTCAGCCCAGAAACTGCTCTATGTATCAAGGTTTACTATATCTGTAGAATCGTTGTAAAAAGAAACTAAAAAAATTGTTTTAACTTTTAGTTATCATTCATTTTTCGGTCAAAATCTTACGGGTTATGAAGCTCATATTCAGATTAAGTCATCTGTTTACAAG